ATTAGAGACCTCTCTGATCTTGTCGATGTTGCTTGGAGCAATAAAGATGGATCTCAACTGACTGGTATTGTGAAATGTTTTTAAATTAATATTTTAAATCTAAATATTTGTAGTTTGTTTAAAAAACGGAAAAATGGCGCTCATCGTCTTCAGCTGCAATATGACCGACTAATTTCTTTCTTTAGGAGCGGATATTACATCAAATTGGGGGAACATTGATATCACACCAGCAAGCGGGGAAATGTCAAGTTCCAACCCTGGGTCAGGCTACCACAACGCTTTGGACAACTCCCTCTCTTCACTAGCACATTCCAGTGATGCAGAGCACGAAGGGAACCAGTACATTGACCTGACATTCGATAAAGCTTACAAGTTTACATCTGTAACACTGACTGTCTGGAGATGGGATGCTTGGTGCCAAGCTAACCTTCAGACTTGCAGAGGAACTTACCAGAGACTAGGAGGACTGAGTATTAGGGTATCAACTACAGAGAGTAACGTTGGTTATGTGGAGTGTGGGACTGTACCAGAGTACACTGCCCCTGCCTTACAAGCCGGTATTGTCCCTGAACCTATTGTTAAGCGGGTGACATGTGGAGGAGGTAGTGTGGGAGATAAGATTAGTATTTATCAGACCAGAACTGGTGAAAAAGTCATGATCAGTGAGATTGCAATAGAGGGAGCAAGTGAGTAAGGTGGTGTTGCTATGGTTACACTACCGTACATTGTACAAAAACATTTTAATTTTTGAATGCATGAACTTAAAATTAAAATTTCAAACCAGCTTAGTTACTAGGTACAAAATATACTCACTTTGTATAATACCCGAATAGGTAACGAGTTTCAAACAACAACAGCAATACTACCCCCATCTTCATCTATCGAAGATAAAGAGTACAGGTGTATGTTTGTTGTTGAAGATGGCGTCACTCCTTCTGCTTCTCTCACTGTGGATTACTTCCGTTAGTACAGAGATATTTTGTTTGGCTGCGTTTTAGCCACTTTGCTGCTATTCTAAAGGTTACGAGTTCGATCCCCGTCTGGGGCAGTTCTCAAAAAGAATCAATCACCAAACCATGGTGTCGTCAAGCACAAAATGGTACAGGGACCCCGACCCTAGTAAGATGTACACTGTACATCTTACTAGGGTCGGGGTCCCTGTACAGAGGTCACATTATACAGAGGTCACCAGTAACGCGGGTCCTCACAAGCATGTGCTGAAACCCTGTTGTTGAGAGGTGTAAATTCCTTAGGCACATGAGTGGGTACTACCAGAGGACGCATTAGCCCCGGACACTAACAGTACTACTTAGGCACATGTGTGGGTACTACCAGAGGACGCATTAGCCCCGGACACTAACAGTACTACTTAGGCACATGTGTGGGTACTACCAGAGGACGCATTAGCCCCGGTCACTAACAGTACTACTTAGGCACATGTGTGGGTACTACCAGAGGACGCATTAGCCCCGGTCACTAACAGTACTACTTAGGCACATGTATATGTGTGGGTACTACCAGAGGACGCATTAGCCTCGGTCACTAACAGTACTACTTAGGCACATGTGTGGGTACTACCAGAGGACGCATTAGCCCCGGTCACTAACAGTACTACTTAGGCACATGTATATGTGTGGGTACTACCAGAGGACGCATTAGCCTCGGTCACTAACAGTACTACTTAGGCACATGTGTGGGTACTACCAGAGGACGCATTAGCCCCGGTCACTAACAGTACTACTTAGGCACATGTATATGTGTGGGTATTACCAGAGGACGCATTAGCCTCGGTCACTAACAGTACTACTTAGGCACATGTATATGAGTGGGTACTACCAGAGGACGCATTAGCCCCGGTCACTAACAGTACTACTTAGGCACATGTGTGGGTACTACCAGAGGACGCATTAGCCCCGGTCACTAACAGTACTACTTAGGCACATGTATATGTGTGGGTACTACCAGAGGACGCATTAGCCCCGGTCACTAACAGTACTACTTAGGCACATGTATATGTGTGGGTACTACCAGAGGACGCATTAGCCCCGGTCACTAACAGTACTACTTAGGCACATGTGTGGGTACTACCAGAGGACGCATTAGCCCCGGTCACTAACAGTACTACTTAGGCACATGTATATGTGTGGGTATTACCAGAGGACGCATTAGCCTCGGTCACTAACAGTACTACTTAGGCACATGTATATGTGTGGGTATTACCAGAGGACGCATTAGCCTCGGTCACTAACAGTACTACTTAGGCACATGTATATGTGTGGGTACTACCAGAGGACGCATTAGCCCCGGTCCCCGGAGGATGTCGATATATCGAATATGATCCAATTATATCGAATATGATCCAAATATATCGAATATGATCCAATCATGTTCGAGAACAAATTTTGTAACATCTTCATCTAATATTTTTCTTCATTCCTTGCAATTCAATGGAAAATGTTGGACAAAACGCGATGGGGATAATTATGCACCACGCTTCATTCCAATGTTGTAAACCTCTCCGTGTACTGTACCATAAATATAGCAAAAGCAAAGTAGTGCATATCAACAATAGATATATAATATATACCACATATACTCTCATTATATATACTCTCTTTAGACATTAAACTCACGGGAGTTCTGGTCTTTGTAAGCCTTTGATAAGTTTCAGGTCTTTGTGACGTAGGACTTAAAAGATAGCCGCAGAGTAAACTCCCGCTTAATCAAGTTATATTTGATGTGGCTGGTTTCTCTTGTATAACCTGATATTTCGCTTCTTTGGATACTATTTGTTTATTATTTGTTCCCCCCCCCCTGGCCCTAGAATTAACCTTGTACCATGGTCTGAAAGTGAAGCAGTCGAGCCTTATTATCGAGACTATGTATAACAATTGTTTCCCTGGTATAATTAACCTATGCTTGAAGCTACTATATTGTTTGCTTGCTCCTACACTGTTTTACTGATATTTATATTTTACTGTTTGTGACCATTCTCCAATCTCGTTTCGAGGAACAATCCAGCTCAGCTCTAAGTGTAAATGCTAGAGCGGCACCCTTTTAGGTGTGGTACCTTACAAGGGCGGCACCTACTGCAAGGGTGCCTATCAAGCGGTAAAGTTCTCAGAAACTATAGAGTTACCATGGTGGTGTGTAAACATTATGTGTAAATATAAACGCCCATTATTCGAGGAGTTCCATTGTGTAAAGTTTGTGAACTGTTGCCACTTCATGTATTATGTTATGTTTTGTTGAGCCATTTTGAGCCATAGTGACTGCCATAGTGAGTTACTAATTTTGTGAATAAACTCAGCGATGAAAATGTTGTTTTTTGAAGGAATGGTGATCTAATAACGTTATCAGCTAATCCAGGCGCTAACGGGTAGTGCTGTATCCTTTTGAATTATTGGCAGTTGTTTCACACCTGTACAACACATGGTTATAATTATGCACAATGAAGCACGAGAATCTTCAGTGCATTATACGTTGCATGCAGTGGCATAACGTTACGCCACACGTTGCATGTATTTGAAAAGTCTCACTATGAAACTGATTATTCTTGTAACAAACTATCAAAGAATCAACATTTTAATTGATCATTTTGCTTTATCATTTGGCCCACTATTCTGTGACTGTAACATACTTACCCTCATTATTTAACAGGAGTGACTGTAACTGATAAGGAAGTGAAGACTGGAACAGAAACAACACTGACTTGTAGTTTAACTGAACTCACAGTAGAAGTAACTATTTCTTGGTGGGACGGAGAATCTCAAATTAACGACGGAAACGGTAACAAAATACTGCTAAGCTATATTAGTACTTTTTGAATTTGCTTCAAGGGAAGTGCAATGACCGATCATAGTTGGTGTTTATAGTGCTATTCATTAAATTTACTAATCTACTACCATCCATATTCCATATGATTAGTAAGTTAGTATACCACAAATCAGACTAATCTACTACCCTCCATACGATTTTTACATAATGATATGTTTCAGTAAAATCAGTCCAGTTCGATTCAGAAGCTGAAACACAAGCATCCGAACTAACGGTAACTAACCCAAGTTGAATACATTCAAAACTACTTATATAACATTTAAAAATTAAGTTCTGACGAAGCTGTAGTGACAGAGGAGAATTTAAAACTTTTATTTCTTCGATATTTTCGTCGCACCATTTCGTTTAATAGGCTAACTACTAGTGGAAATAACAAACTCTAAGCAGGTAGCTAACCCTACGGAGGATGAGGTGTACACATGTAAAGTACACAATAATAAAGATGAGGTCGCCTCAGAAACTTTACAGCTCAATGTTTACGGTTCGTTTTAAGCCTTACAATTTACATAAACTATTTTCGGCATATTTTGTAAAACACCTTAAAGCACAACTTTTCCTGGTGCAAGTGTCCATGTCTAAAATTATCTGTTCTATCAGACATTCATTTAAATAAAATGATCACAGGTGTCGAGCCTGTTAGCAAGGACGCTTTTGTGGGAACATCCACAATACTATCATGTAAAATTTCTGGGTTGACAACCAAAGCAACTGTGATATGGAAAAAGGACTCTGAAACTCAAGAGGGAACAAAAGAAGGTGTTTTGGATACCGATGCAGGTAGTCAAGTTTCCACCTTGACTGTAGCCAATCCTCAAAATGATGAAGTTTTCACCTGTGTGGTGACTTCTGGAGAATACACATCTTCAGATCCGTCAGAAACAGTCGTCAATCTCAATACTTTCTGTAAGTCTTAAAGTAACTAGCAGGAACCCTTCTAATCTTAAAGTGGTGTCAATAGACAACAGTTTTATTATGCTTTAATCTTCCTATTTTAGCACCACTTTGTGGTCCAAATTTGTGGGCCTAAACTTTTTATTGCTTGGCAATTTTGTATTTATTCATGCCGTTCATAAGGCCATACAAGCATTTGACTCAGCCAAAATCATTTCAATGGTATTTCTCATGGAATGTTAACTGTTTCAGCGGTTGAAAGTGGAGTAAAGAAGTGCTCATTGGAACAGAAACTGTAATATCCTGCAAAATAACAGAGATTACTGAGCAAATGAATATTGAGTGGTCCGGATTTGTAAAGGGGGATAATTTTGTGCCAGATCTTGGTACCTACAATGCTGGTACAAAAAGTCAAACTGGAACACTGACGGTCAAGTCTCCAGACACTGATAAAACTTATACCTGCTCTGTATCCTCAACCACCAATAAGGATTCAACTGTTAAGAACATTGATGTCCATCTTAATGTTTACGGTAAGATTTAAATATTTATTTATTTCTCCGAAATTGTATTATCCATGTGAATTCATTCTATTGCATCTGAATATTGTTTTTTATTGTACCGAAAAAAGACGTTTCATAATTTATCATTGGATATGTTCAGATGTGAAACCAGTGAGCAAGGACACATTTGCTAGCACTAGTACAACAATATCATGTGCGATTTCTGGGTTGACAACCAAAGCAACTGTGATATGGAAAAAGGACTCTGTAACTCAAGAGGGAACAGAAGAAGGTGTTTTGGATACCGATGCAGGTAGTCAAGTTTCCACCTTGACTGTAGCCAATCCTCAAAATGATGAAGTTTTCACCTGTGTGGTGACTTCTGGAGAATACACATCTTCAGATCCGTCAGAAACAGTCGTCAATCTCAATACTTTCTGTAAGTCTTAAAGTAACTAGCAGGAACCCTTCTAATCTTAAAGTGGTGTCAATAGACAACAGTTTTATTATGCTTTAATCTTCCTATTTTAGCACCACTTTGTGGTCCAAATTTGTGGGCCTAAACTTTTTATTGCTTGGCAATTTTGTATTTATTCATGCCGTTCATAAGGCCATACAAGCATTTGACTCAGCCAAAATCATTTCAATGGTATTTCTCATGGAATGTTAACTGTTTCAGCGGTTGAAAGTGGAAGTAAAGAAGTGCTCATTGGAACAGAAACTGTAATATCCTGCAAAATAACAGAGATTACTGAGCAAATGGATATTGAGTGGTCCGGATTTGAAAAGGGGGATAATTTTGTGCCAGATCTTGGTACCTACAATGCTGGTACAAAAAGTCAAACTGGAACACTGACGGTCAAGTCTCCAGACACTGATAAAACTTATACCTGCTCTGTATCCTCAACCACCAATAAGGATTCAACTGTTAAGAACATTGATGTCCATCTTAATGTTTATGGTAAGATTTAAACATTTGTTTATTTTTCCGAGATTGTATATTATCCATTAGAATTCATTCTATTGCATCTGAATATTGTTTTTTATTGTACCGAAACAAGACGTTTCATAATTTATCATTGGATATGTTCAGATGTGAAACCAGTGAGCAAGGACACATTTGCTAGCACTAGTACAACAATATCATGTGAGATTTCTGGGTTGACAACCAAAGCAACTGTGATATGGAAAAAGGACTCTGTAACTCAAGAGGGAACAGAAGAAGGTGTTTTGGATAACGATGGTCAAGTTTCCACCTTGACTGTAGCCAATCCTCAAAATGATGAAGTTTTCACCTGTGTGGTGACTTCTGGAGAATACACATCTTCAGATCCGTCAGAAACAGTCGTCAATCTCAATACTTTCTGTAAGTCTTAAAGTAACTAGCAGGAACCCTTCTAATCTTAAAGTGGTGTCAATAGACAACAGTTTTATTATGCTTTAATCTTCCTATTTTAGCACCACTTTGTGGTCCAAATTTGTGGGCCTAAACTTTTTATTGCTTGGCAATTTTGTATTTATTCATGCCGTTCATAAGGCCATACAAGCATTTGACTCAGCCAAAATCATTTCAATGGTATTTCTCATGGAATGTTAACTGTTTCAGTGGTTGAAAGTGGGAGTAAAGAAGTGCTCATTGGAACAGAAACTGTAATATCCTGCAAAATAACAGAGATTACTGAGCAAATGGATATTGAATGGTCCGGATTTGAAAAGGGGGATAACTTTGTGCCAGATCTTGGTACCTACAATGCTGGTACAAAAAGTCAAACTGGAACACTGACGGTTAAGTCTCCAGACACTGATAAAACTTATACCTGCTCTGTATCCTCAACCACCAATAAGGATTCAACTGTTAAGAACATTGATGTCCATCTTAATGTTTATGGTAAGATTTAAACATTTGTTTATTTTTCCGAGATTCATGTATTATCCATTAGAATTCATTCTATTGCATCTGAATATTGTTTTTTATTGTACCGAAAAAAGACGTTTCATAATTTATCATTGGATATGTTCAGATGTGAAACCAGTGAGCAAGGACACATTTGCTAGCACTAGTACAACAATATCATGTGAGATTTCTGGGTTGACAACCAAAGCAACTGTGATATGGAAAAAGGACTCTGTAACTCAAGAGGGAACAGAAGAAGGTGTTTTGGATAACGATGCTAGACAAGTTTCCACCTTGACTGTAGCCAATCCTCAAAATGATGAAGTTTTCACCTGTGTGGTGACTTCTGGAGAATACACATCTTCAGATCCGTCAGAAACAGTCGTCAATCTCAATACTTTCTGTAAGTCTTAAAGTAACTAGCAGGAACCCTTCTAATCTTAAAGTGGTGTCAATAGAGAACAGTTTTATTATGCTTTAATCTTCCTATTTTAGCACCACTTTGTGGTCCAAATTTGTGGGCCTAAACTTTTTATTGCTTGGCAATTTTGTATTTATTCATGCCGTTCATAAGGCCATACAAGCATTTGACTCAGCCAAAATCATTTCAATGGTATTTCTCATGGAATGTTAACTGTTTCAGCGGTTGAAAGTGGGAGTAAAGAAGTGCTCATTGGAACAGAAACTGTAATATCCTGCAAAATAACAGAGATTACTGAGCAAATGGATATTGAGTGGTCCGGATTTGAAAAGGGGGATAATTTTGTGCCAGATCCTGGTACCTACAATGCTGGTACAAAAAGTCAAACTGGAACACTGACGGTCAAGTCTCCAGACGTTGATAAAACTTATACCTGCACAATATCTTCCATTCTCAATTCTTTCTCCCCTAAAAAGACAGTCGATGTAGCTCTTAACGTTTACGGTGAGGTTTTGGTGATCATTATCCCTCATTTATACCTCGTTTATGTGCATCAATTGAAACATTTACTTCCAAACCTCCTAATATCATTTTATTTCAGCATTTGAAGGCACAGGAAAAGAGATTTACCGTGGTTCAACTGTTACTTTGTCATGTTTACTATCGGCAACTGAGCTTGTAGCATCTTTTTCTTGGGCAAGCAAAGAAAAAGATGCCATTATAGGTAAGTTCGATTTAACGTGATGTTTACATTTTTAAATAAATATCAGATTAGTAGAACTCACTGAAAAACTATTGCTATTACAGAATATGGTAATATCATGTTTTTTATACAGGTGCTGACGACTCAAACTATTTGATTAAAAGCGACCAGGCACATAAAGATGGTAAACAGTCCTCATATCTGGAAATAAAAAGGTACTTTCTATCCAGAAGTGGTGGTGTAGTGGTAATACACTCTTGTATCTTGCTGTATCTTCTATCCAGATTTGTCTTTAATTAGCATTTTTCATCGTTATAGCTGTATTATTTTCAGTTATTATGTATTATATACATAGTACAAACCCATCAGGGTGTTTTATTATTTGAAAAGTATGTAATAAAAATCGTTTCTCTAATCTTAATCCTTCATTTAGTCCAGCGACTGAAACACCTGATGTTTTTACATGTGAAGCGAAGTTCACTTCAATTCCCGCTACATCTTTAGCTCTGGAGCTGCACGTTTACGGTTTGTTAATAAAATGAACTTTATACCAAATGAATTGTTTTTGTCAAAATTTTGATGTTCTGATTAGCTATAAAGTAAACAATATGACATCAAACCATGCTATAATCACCTTATCTAACTTTATGGAACAAATCACAAATGCACTAATTTCAAATACAGTTTGAAATCCTTTGACCTTAATTGGGAAAATAATGGTTCTGACAGCTGAATTTAAAACTCTATTGTAATGTTTCTAACCTCCTGGTTACTAAGCAACCTTTACTCTTTTACTGGTTACAAGGCAACCTCTAATGCTTACTATTTCAGATGTAAACCCATCTAGTGAAGTACTGGTTCAGGCTCTCTCCTCCACCAAACTCTATTGTAATATTTCTAATCTCGGCACTGGAAGTGCTGCTACCGTCTGGTGGATAAGGAACAGTGATAAGGAAGAGTTTGATGTAATTATTTTTATATTTTTTATACGTGGTTTTTTATTAAATAAAATCAGTTTAATTGGTATTAATAGACAATAAATGGATCTCGGGAATACTACCCGCCTTAAGTCAGTCAAGTAAGTCATATGTATCCCTCTGTGTAATAGTGACAGTTCCAACATCTCTATATTAGCGACAAGAGAAACGCTATTGTCAAACGTTACGAGAGTGAGGACTCCTCAAACTAAATTAAACATATTCCTTCTATAACGTCCTGAATAAACATAGTTACGAAAACGAAATCTTACTATATATAAAGCGAGACGATAGTTTTCCGTGCCATTTTACTGACACCACGGCATCAACTTTAACGCGACTTTCCGCAAAAACCGTAAAAGATATACAACTGAAACCTTGCTTTAATGGCCTCCAAATCAGCATGAAAAAATAAAAAATTGGCCAAGGAATAATGATTTTAGAGCCCAAAATTTGGACCCCCAAGTGGTGTCAAAAACGCGAATAAAATAGATAATAATCATTTTAGTCTCTTGAGTCTTGATACCGTTTAGGGTTATTTTATACGGGTTCCTGCTAGTGTATGATAATGCACAGAAATGAATTCACTTTATTGATTAGTTGATTGATAGAACCTTAGCTTTTAGTGTCACATGAAGATACCTGATATCTTGCAGGACGAAGAAGGGAACAACGCAGTGACTGGTACTCCAGAAAATTCCAATCAAGTAAACTATCTTAGTCTAGATTCCACGCTTACTAAGATTGATGATGTTTTTACTTGTTTGGTAGAAGTTACTGAAGGAGAAACTGCTCAGTTTGAAGTTACCTTAAATACATTCAGTAAGTTTTCCAAGCTCACATTCACTAATATTTCCTACAAAGTTAATACATCTTTGATATATTTTTCCATTCACATCGTCTATATTTGTGTTTTTAACAGCAGTTCATTTTTAGCGGTTAAACCCATTGAAGAACACTCTCACGAAGGTAAAACAGCAGTTTTATCTTGTCAAATAACAGGAGCAGACAAACAACTGGTGGTGAAGTGGACTGACGATAAGGTTTGTTACTCCACAGTAATCCGAGATTTGCACCGCTGACCAGCATGTATACCATTCAATTGTTATTACTTGAGTTATAAGTAATCTTATTTTTATCAATAATTAAGGTTTATCAATGACTTTTTCGCAGGGTGAAGATGTATCCAAAGTCAACGGATACGAAATTATTCAGGGGGAAGTTGAAAATAACATTCAGACTTCAACACTATCCTTAAGGTAGGTATTTTATTCTGTGAAATTAGTTTTATCTTAATATCATGTATTTTATCTGGATGGTGTTGTATAAGTGCCATTCAATTGTACAATCAATAAAGTATCCTTCCTCCCAGTGGAGAGCACACTGGAGATGATGGAGAGTACAAGTGTCTTGTTTCCTCTGATGGGGGAGAATCTTTCTACTCTCACTCTGTTCCTCTCAATGTGCTCGGTAAGTTAACCTGTGTAATAACCTGTGTGATAACCTGTGTAATAACCTGTGTATTGTGTAATAACCTGTGTAATAACCTGTGTAATAACCTGTTTAATAACCTGTGTAATAACCTGTGTAATAACCTGTTTAATAACCTGTGTAATAACCTGTGTTATAACCTGTGTAATAACCTGTGTAATAACCTGTGTAATAACCTGTGTAATAACCTGTGTAATAACCTGTTTAATAACCTGTGTAATAACCTGTGTTATAACCTGTGTAATAACCTGTGTAGTAACCTGTGTAATAACTGAATAACTGCAACTCAATGATGACGAGTATAACCGCTGAGTTACTGTTGCAGCATAACACATGGAAACTAAGTGAGTAAGTGATAAGCTCACTTTATCTAACACACGCTATACAGTGTGAGTAGTAGCTGGTGTGGTTACTAGGTTACTGAGTGGTTACTAGGTTACTGAGTGGTTACTAGGTTACTGAGTGGTTGCTAGGTTACTGAATGGTTGCTAGGTTACTGAGTGGTTACTAGGTTACTGAGTGGTTGCTAGGTTACTGAGTGGTTGCTAGGTTACTGAGTGGTTACTAGGCTACTGAGTGGTTACTAGGCTACTGAGTGGTTGCTAGGTTACTGAGTGGTTGCTAGGTTACTGAGTGGTTGCTAGGTTACTGAGTGGTTACTAGGTTACTGAGTGGTTGCTAGGTTACTGAGTGGTTACTAGGTTACTGAGTGGTTACTAGGTTACTGAGTGGTTGCTAGGTTACTGAGTGGTTACTAGGTTACTGAGTGCAAGGTTATTAAATACGTCAAATTTTCGTGAAAGAATACGACGTATTCGGTTCTAATAAAGAATACGTCGTAATACGCCGTAATACGGTAATTTCTATGGATTGTTAAATACGTCCACGAATACGCCATAATACGCCGTAATACGCTGATTTGTAAAAATTAAACATTACAGCTGCGCGCCACCCTCATCATTGATCATGCATTAAAGGAGTGCAGTTATACATGATAACTTAAATTTGCAATCAAATTTCATGGATAATAAGCTAACATTTTTTGCGAAATTATCAATTACATATTAATACATATTTAATGATTTCGTTTCCTAAAACGATCTCGCAATTATCAAAGTTTGAGACCATTTTCTAAAATTCAGTCCCCTCAACATATTTGAATTTTTGAATTTTTTGAATAAAGAATACGTCGTAATACGTCAATTTTCGAGGATTAATACGTATTCGTATTCCAATACGTATTCCCTCCTAATACGTATTTAACAACCTTGACTGAGTGGTTACTAGGTTACTGAGTGGTTGCTAGGTTACTGAGTAGTTACTAGGTTACTGAGTGGTTATTAGGTTACTGAATGGTTACTAGGTTACTGAGTAGTTACTAGGTTACTGAGTGGTTGCTAGGTTACTGAGTGGTTACTAGGTTACTGAGTGGTTACTAGGTTACTGAGTGGTTGCTAGGTTACTGAGTGGTTGCTAGGTTACTTTATCTAACACACACTATACAGTGTGAGTAGTAGCTCTTGTTCTAATAATAACAAGGATGGGCTTGTTACAAGTATTATTCAGCTGTTGTAATAATAACTAATTGTAGTTGTAGTTGTTGTAGCAGCTGACTTGCTTGCCTTTGTTCCGCTGCCCCTGTATAATGTATAGTTAGTATCATGTTCTCTTTACTTGCCAGGTCACACTTTCTGTCATACACTTTCTGGGCCGACAATTCCCGGAAATCTTTTGTTATAGTTATTATATTATTATTTTATTTACGTATAAACATGAACTCATTTTATGTAATTATTAGTTTTTACATATTAATGATATTTGTATTGCTAACTTTGTTACATCAGTAAAAGCCCGTGGTCACAAGAAGGAAGCTAACAGTATTCTTTGAGTTTTTATCGCATAAAAAAATATCCGCACCCTGCTATATAATAATAATATGAAGGTATGAAGGACTTGTTTTAATTCTAAATTTAAAGCTTTAGCTTTACAACTGTAAAGTTCGTTAGTTACACTTTCCTAGTAGTATATGCACCATATACTACTTTTCCTTGTTCTTTCAGAGGCTAAGCTTGTAAGTGATTTCTTACTTCCTTGTTTTCAACCACATCTGAGCGCCTGATTCGCTCCAAGTAAGGTGCTAATATTTATGCGCCCTAGATTCAATATTCCATAGAATCATATACATATTATACTTATAGTCTGTTATTTCTATGTTGCCAAAATACAGCTTCAATCTCTTTCCCCGCTTATTAAGTTATTTATTGACTATTAAACACCTGTCCTGCAATTAAAGACCTGATCACTGGTCATCAGGTGCCTAGTCTAGGTGTGGCTACATTAACATAGACACATGTATATATGCTGTCAACAGATAACATTATAGTACATTAGTAGTATTATAGTACATTAGTAAGTTAGTAGTTACTATAAAGTTGTTGGAGCATGTACCTGATTGGGATAACATGTTCAGCTTATATCGGGTAATACCTAGTCGGTTCTTTTGCGATAGTGTGAACGCGACAACTAGCGCTGGATATGGACAACTAGCGCTGGATGGCGACAACTAGCGCTGGATTGCGCTAGTTATCGAAAATTTATATTTTGCGCTGGATAGCGTTCACCAGCGCTGGATAGCGACAACTAGCGCTGGAAGGCGACAACTAGCGCTATCCAGCGCTAGTTGTCGCTATCCAGCGCTAGTTGTCGTCATCCACCGCTAGTTGTCGCGTTTACACTATCGCGAAAGAACCATACAGTCTACAAGTCAGACTTAGGAAAGACACGTAAAAACAACAGTAGCGGGACTTGGATGGAAATGTTGGACATTGTTTCTATGCCAGATTAAGATATTGACGCATATGTTTGTGTTTGTTTATAGAACCTGAACATGAAGTGATGAATTATACATGATATTGACCCATGAAGAGAAGGAACAATTAAAGCAGCTCGGATCATTGGTGTGTAGCCACGTGCACCACACTTTAAGGTCACTAGTAGACCAATTAGACCAATAATTACCGTACTCCTGTTTACTTGTTCAGTTGTTCAGTGGTTATTTACAGTTGTCTCCTTTTGTGTTGAACAATATTATGTTCTATGATAGGTGGTCTAATACTATAAGATAGGTGGTGATCGTGTTTATCACTCTAATACTATTCTACCTAACAAGCATTCCCGATTTCATTTAATTTGCTCCTTCATAAAATAGAAAAATCATAATTTCAAATTTGGACACGAGTCTTGAAACACCCTGTACTATAGGAGTATAGGATTTAGGATTTATATCTGTGATAATGTTCGTGGCTTAAGTAACAGGTTACAGAACTTCCTCACGGTACTCACGGTAGTAGGTCAGATAGAGGTTCCCACATTACGATAGCACTATTACGTCTTAAGTCCTAACCCCAACCCTAATGTTGCACATACTTCTTGTGAAGTTCACAAGACGACAGAAGTGTGAGTAACAGATACCAGGTGTGAAGTCCGCCTGGTACCTG